AATGGACTAGCATCCCATCCAGGGGGAGTAGAAATACTCCTAGTCGCTTCATGCTACAGAAACCGGGATAAGCTCCGACCTGATGGGCCACTTGGCTTGTATGCAGACTTTACCTATGATATGACGATACCTTCTTTATGACCAAAACGTCTGAAAACCATACCCTTTGAGGCTGCACAAACCTATAAACCCCACGTAAGGGAGTACCCCCCACATGTACACTGTAGATAGGAACTTGGAACACTCATAAAATGTGTGGTTCACCTTTGAGAATGCAGAGAAGACAGGAGCACTTGCAAATGTTCCTTTTTATTCAATTTGCTTTTCTTACAGAAACGATAATACTCGTACAACTTCTTAGTACACTTCAATTTAACTGGCTTAGTATACTATTCTAACGTTACTCAAAAATTTTCAAATGCTATAGTATCAAGCAGTCAATTTGCCCTACATTAACTACACTTTATTATCGGTTTATAAGAAAACACTGTAAACCGTTTCAAGTTGATTTCTACCAAACAAGCGAGAATTTTAACAAACAAACATCCTTGTCATATGTATGGGACTAAGGCCTACCAACGTACAAAGTATGGGCAAAATTGAATTTTGAGCTGTGTCCGCGATTTCTTTGATTGTTACTGACATTTACTCCTAAATTTTGGCCTGTACACAATTTTAAAGCTTGCATTTGATTTGCGTTCATGAACATCTTCTCACTCGCCCAAAGTGAAATTCGCCTTGTATCAGCTTCCATCAATTTCACCTCTGTCTTGGTACCACAGAGGTCTTGGGTTCGAATCCTGTTCAAGCCTTTTTTCAGGTCTTTAGCTACTGTATGTACAAAACTGCCATGATAACTGATGTATTTACATCTTTCTCCACAGGTCAAATTTAACATATTTAATATATTAAGTTGCACACACATATTTTGTTACATGTCCCCTTGGTTTAAAGGTTCAATTCTCGTGTATATATGCCTACCTGACTGTAAGGTTTTCTCAAGGCCACAAGAGAAAAAAATTGCATGACTGTTGTGTGACTTTGGTATGATGCCTACTCAGCATAAACCCAATACGTAAACTCAGCATGAACCCGATATGTAAACAAAAGAACAAGCTCAAAATTTTGGCCTCTAGACAAAATGTTTAAGTTTGCATTCAATTTGCATTTATGAAAATCTACTCACTTGCCCAGAGCAAAAATAGATTTGGTTTGCAAAACTTTACAATTCAGGCTCAGCTCGCGCCACTTAATACTACTGTAAAATACAATACTACCATCAATATTAGAAGACTCATATGGATTGCCTTCTGTTGACCTTTAACTTTGCTGTGGAACTATTCAATACCAGTATCAGCTTCCATCAATTTCACCTATGTCGCACTATTGAGCACAATGTTTAGCCTCTATTGAGCTCATGCTTTGCTCTGTTTGTTATTTGGAAGTCACTGCCAATGAACTCTGACCGAAAAGCAAACAATAAAAGTTTCCAGTTTTAGTGCAACACATGTACTTATGTAATATATAAAATAATGTATACACCTGCACTATTTACTCATGAACTGATTTCTAACATCTGATTTAGTGGTCAGTGAAAATAGCACAAAAACTTAACAAATGAGTAACCGACCCCTCATGTGCATATCATAAGCATAATCTACACATACAGACATTTATTTAAACATGCTTTACAAGTAAATAGACATAATGGCAACTTGTCAAATTACCTTCCTACAACATATTGTCCCTTTCTTAATCTGGTACAATTTCCGTTGAAAGACTGATAAGCTGGGTATGGATGAAATTGACACCTTTTAATGTGAACAGGATTGTTAACAAGCTCCCGAAGAAAGGCAATTTTTACAGCAAAATTACTTGCAAATGGCAGAGATAAACAAGAACACGAAATTCTCACCTCTCTGAAATCGTAATAGCATTTCAAACATTATAAAGAAACTAATTCTCACAAAAAAAAGCGACCGCCTGTCAACAGCTTCAAAGAAATTCAAAGATTGATGTGAAAAGAAACTCAGCTACAATCTTGGACAAAATAAACGGAACATCTGGACTACCCCTCCCCCCATTTCAATGATGCCAAAATGGTACGTTTTTGCTCCTTTGTGCCTTCATCATTGCTTTGGGGGGGATGGGGGCTAATTGTTCCATTTTCTTCTGTCCAAGATTGTAGTCACCAGTGCTTTTTGGTCCATAAAGAGACTTCATGTAGACTAGTAACAAGTAATGGGGGCCACGTCTGCGAAACAGCACATTTTTCACACTTGTTGGCCCTTAAAGTGCTTTTTGAAGAAAGAAAATTTATTTCAAATATAACATGATTCAAGTACAAGTATTTAAGATACTATTGTTTCATGTGAAAGATCTACTTAGCAGGTAAGAAAGAATTTGTGTACAGGTAGATCAATTTAACAAATTGATGTCAGGTTTTTATGCATCTGTCCTCTTATTGATGATAAATTGCATCATAACATTGTCCAAGTGGCTGTGGAATCATGAGCCGCAGGCGAGTGGTTCTGCAGTAAACTTTGACAATGTTATGATGAAATTTATCATCAATAAGAGGACAGATGCATAAAAACCTGATGTCAATTTGTTTTTCACAATAACAAGACCCCAAAATGGTCAAATGCCAGGAACGAATGGGGGGAAAAGACGTCGTAAACTTGCCGTAAACAAAGATAGGTGAATTGTAAAATGACGTGAGCATTGTCAATAGCTTTTCTCGCTTTTTTGATTGGCTTCTTAAAAAAAGTCAATAAAATCTCATTGGTTAAAAATTTGACAGTTTGACAGCTGAAAGTTGAACTTGAAAGCTTGCATAAATTAAAATTTTATCTGTCTGTACTCTTATTGATGATAAAAATGAGCCAATCAGCCCACAAGAAATTAGACAGTTATTGTAAAAACTTGAATTGAAGGCATCAGGAAATTAAAATCGACCATTCAAGCCCCCTTCCCTCTGGAATTTCCTGGGTCTTTGACCTCCCACCCTTTGGAATTTCCAGTTCCCTTTGTGGTGGGGTTATGGATATGTTCTGGAACCATACATTATACATATCAATCAAAAAATATACAGAATACATAAATTTTAACCAATGAAAGTCAGCTTCATACCTCTTTATCTCGCACAAAGGCTTTCCTTTAAAAGTAACATTAAACATGATTATTACACAATATAGGTAAATTATTATAACTAATATGTTTATTTGTTCAGAGCATTACAACTTCGGAACAAGCTGCAGGCAAGCTCCATTATGGGAGAAAAAAAGAATTTTAAAGTGCTACTATGATGAAATGCAAATCTATTCTATCTAAGCCATTTTAAAACATAAATAGGTATCTGCATGAGAAGAAAAATGCTGATTACTGTTTTTCAAATATCTCTTTTTGTTCCTGAGATATTCAAGTTTTCAAAATATTCACATTAGCCAAGTTACAATGTCATAAACTCAACCAAATTTTGATCAAATATGGTGAGGAAAGATATTTCAGCCAATTTGTATCATAATGTTTCATTTTTTGTAGCAAGATTCTACTAGATGTGCTCCATAATACGGGCACAACAGTTTTGTTACCAGGGCAACATACTGGGTTCCAGACCTCCCCAATATTAAAGGCTTTTCTGGCCGCCTTAGCTGTTCCATTTTGATATTTGCCAATGGTGTCTAATCTCAAAGATCCAGCAAACATATAGGTCATAGGCATATATGTTACGTCAAGTTCTTGGCCTTGTTTAGTGTGTTTCGGCTAAAAATCACAAAAATATTGAAATAAGGTTGGGGACTGAAAAAGAGTGCGCTGCCATTGGAAATAACATTTCGTAAAGCTGTGGGTGTGTTGCCTGTAGAACTATTACCCTACCAAGTTTCAATAGTATCTGCTGAAAATTGAGATAAATTGAGATAACTCTAATTATATACTGATGTAATATAAGGCTTAGTGTGTGATGTCATCAGTCCTTGCATTTGCATATTTTACACATTTTACAAACTTAAATCTCTTTGGAACTAATGCAGATATTTGGAAATAGAAAATGGCATTTTTCATCTTTTGTATAACTCTGTGTAATACACTTAAAAACACGTTCAAGGGGTAACAATTTGATAACAGTAACACTTTAAGCTTGCCCTTTAAGTGCTACTATGATGAAATTCATCCTATCTAAGCCATTTTTAAAAGAATCAACAGCTTGTCTATGAGAAAATGCTGTTTACTTTTTTCAAATAGCTCTTTTCTTCAATTCCAGAGATATTCATCTATTTTGTTTTCATTCAATGCTCTAGGGATTTTTTTTTCACCTAACATGAGTTAGCTGAACCCTGGCAAAAATCTTTTGAAGATCTTCAAGGGACTTCTAAGTTACTCATAAAAATCTTCAAGGATCTTGTTGGGGATCTTAAGGATGTTAGCACCCATTGCTACTGCACATTCTTACTGAACACTTAATTCATGTTGCAACATCATGTCACGCCATACATCAAGCACTTGTGCAAAGAAGGAAATACATAAAGCAGGTATGACCAGGGAATGTTGTAAACAGTAGTCTCAAAGTTGCCTAACTTGGGAGGCAGGCCCCTCTTCAATTTTCAAATTGCATCTTGATAACCAAGGAATGGATTGGAACTAGATGCCCTCTTCCAATCAGTTGTTAATTTTGTCACTCAATTTTTTCTGTTTTAGCTCTCACCTTGTGTAGAATTTTTTGGCAAGTTTTTGACCATCTACAAATAATCTAATGTAGCTCTCAAGTAAGCCATCACTGAATGCTGTATAAATCCACACACGACCTGAAAGTCAAACAAAGGAAAGAACAATATAAAAATATTATGCAATGTTTTTCTTCATTGAGCTGATGAAGGTTGGATAATCCAACATACTACTTTTGGACTTCAGCAAATATTAATAATAAACCTCAGTCAGGGAAATAGCTCCCTAATTCACCTTAATGAAAATGGGCTAACAAAGATTGACTGATCCAAACAAAGTATTAAAGTATTTCCATCCTTTTAGAAACAAAAGTCATGTTAGATTAAATTGTTATTGGTTCAAAGATTTAGAAAATTTTTCAAAACAAAATTTAATCATTTATGATAATCAAAATTTTCAACCAAAGATTAAAGGAGGTTATGTTCAGCTGCTACTTATGGTATTATAGTACTATGTAAGAGTAATCCAATTTAGGAAGTTCATGAATTTTGTTCAATTATTGTTGACGTTCTCCAAAATTTCACTGACATTTTGTGGAAAATTCAGCAATGATGATAATGACACCTCACTGATATATCACGGAATTTACTACAGGGCAATAAATATTATACGCAACATTTCATCAACTCGATCTCATACAAAAGTTTGTGTTCAAAAGCATAAAAATTTCAACAGGCAATTTTCTGCCAGTGTGAGGTGAATCTTGGTGAAATTTCACCTGCGTGAATAATTAAGGACATGCTGGGAATTTTGCTGACCAAAGACAAATTTGTACTCAGCAGAAACAAATCTATGCTCATCACAAACAATTTTTTGCCTAAGGACAGGCAAACTTTTGTTTAACATAATTAAGGGAACCTTTGTTTTGTCCAAACAAAAAACTTCTTACGCAAAATAAAATGTTGCAAACTTAAGTAGCACTTCTTGATATAATTTTACAAAATGTTGCTAAAATAAGAACAACAGATCTGTGAAAAATTGGTGAACTGTTATTCAAAGCTACCCAGAAGCAAAAGTTGGCAGTTTTTTCCTGGAAATCAGCAAATTTCATTTCCACTGCTTTTGCAAAGTGCTGTATAACAGCTTTAGACACATTACTTTACACTAAGATGCCCCTGCTTTTGCTCTGAAAGATATTGATATAAGCTGAAAAAACTGTTCCTGAATGAGCTGAATTACTTTTAGCAAGCTTTCACAAACAGGACAGATGCAGAGTTGCTCTTCACGATGAACTGAAAATTCATCATGAAGATTATATGATTTCCAATATGATTTACAATGTGACTGAATGCAAACTATATTGAAAAATGATCATCGCCTACTGCAACTAATATAAAAATCAGTTTAAAATTACTGTACATCTGACTCAAATCAAAGATCTATTTATTTTTTGTTTCACCTTTAAATCTTGTAGGAAGGAGCTATATAATATTAATATATCATTGTTATTATCATAATAATTATCATTATCATTAAAATTACCAATATCTAGAAAAAAAATACAGTAACATCAGGAAAATAATACAAACAGACAATGACATGTTGGATGCCTGCTAGCAGGTCAAATGAATGTGTGATAAGATGGGTACACTGTATGTCTGGTAAGGTAGATAATTATTTATACTGCACTGGTTGAAAAGATTGCTGCTTTCTTGAATTTTGCTTGCAGATCAAGACTAAGGGGTTAGTCTGTACATGTATGTCACTATCTGATTGAAGATCAAGTCTGTCAACCCTGGTTCTAACATCGAGTTCATTACTTGTTTTGTTTGAGAAATCATGTTCAATTAAATACTTTCTTTTGCTAACATTGAATGTCTAACAACACCACAGCAATCAATCTCATGTAATAGTCTTCCTGAGACCACCTTGCACACCAAGAAAGTTGTACCTGAGACAACCTTGCCATTTAACTGAGATTCATTACCTTTGCACAAAGCTGTATAACAGACAAATAGATGATATCTGTTGTTGCACACGCTAATCACACACATCTAAATCTTGCCATAGCTTAATTTAATTTCACTTACTATGAAGATTGAACGTGACAAAAGAGGAATGTGATGAACCCCAAAACCAAAGACGAACTGTAAACTGGAGCAATTCCAAGACAAGGCGTACACAGAAACTCAAACCACTACTAACTAAATAAATTACGCGCGAGCTGAACATATATAGAGTATGCAAATGAACATAACATGTACAAAAGGCCACAAAACAAAAACAACTAATTAAGCAAAAACTTAACACTGAACACGAAACTATGACACAAATTCTGGCCCCTAAATTACGGCTCCTTAAATACAAAGGTGAAAGCCTTGTATTTACCAATGCAACAAACAGGCCAAGAATTACTTAAGTAATTAAGAGTAAATGCCTATAAAAATGGACCTAAATCGCCTATCAATGGTACAAGTCGAAAAATTGATTTCGCTTCTATTTTGTCCATAGATAGGTCCTAGTAAGAATAGAAATGGACCATAGTTAGTTTCTGCTAATACAGCTTTCTTTGGTAGAAATACGCCAAAAATGATTTTGACCCGATTGGGCTCAAAATCTACTTCCGGTTTTGCTGAATTTTCCGAATATTTGATTCCTTCGCGCTCCGCAGAACAGCTACTTGAGAATCTTTCAATGGATTTTATATTCAGTTCAGGTCTTCGTGGTATGACTGAGCGAAAAATAAAATAAATCA